TCTGGGAGTTGAAGTCCACACGTCTTAAAGTTGCCAAGGTTGAGAAACACTGCTATATAGACATAGAAAAAACAATGTAACTAGAAACTGCATGTTTCTGTGTGTACTTAAGACTAATATTCTTTTCGTCTGGACAGAATAGGCAGTTGGATACTTACTATCAGCTTTCTTTCATCTTTTCATCAGGCTGGATGTAAATATTACTTTCCTGATATATCATGTTATCATCATCATCATCTACAATAATAGAAATGGGCAATTTGAAGTAGATCATTGCCATCTTAGTGTAAACCATTTGCCAATGGTTGTATATTATAATTTAGCAGTTTTAGCTACAGCAACCTTGCATGTTTACACTTCTAATATTTAAAGTTAAAAAGTGACTTTACATTTTTCATTTTTGGAAAATAAAATTTGATTTCATTTTTCTTTTGTGAGATTAGACTTATCTCCCCAAAAGCTGGGGAGAGGAAAAAGGACTGAGACTTCTACTCATGTGCCTCTGTGCTACAAGGCCAGGAGATTATACTATAAAGATTATTTCATTTCTCTCAGCCAGAAGAGCAGTATGGATTTGGGAGCCCTATGTCTTTCACAGCCTGGAGTTAGGGGATAGGGCACCATGTAAGACAGGTGGCAGGAAGACAGGCGGCGGCAGCAGCAGCAATCAAGCAGTTACACCAAATCAAGAGGACAATCCAGGGTGAGTTGACCCAGTGATATCTGGGAGAGGAAATTTGAAACCTCCAGTCTTTCACCATATGGGCTCAGCCTTGCTGTACTCTAGCCTCAAACTTTCATTTTGCCTTTGGCTGTGTCAGCAGAATTAAATTAGTTTGAATGGTTGGGAATTGGTATTCCTGTCTGTATTCCAAAATACAGATGTCTGCCTAGTACACACAAGGGAATATGTTTCTGATATTAATTTTATTTTAGAAATCCCTGTTCCAGTTCATATCATTCCAAATTTTACACTGTCTTGTGAGGCAATTATCACCCCAATTTCCTTCCTTTCTTAAATATGTTTTTTTATCTTTTACCTGGTGAAGTGATAATCCTATACTCATTTACTGATTGAAGCCAGTGAGATACTCACAACTATATTTTCTGGTTACCAGTCCATCTACTTGACCATCGCCGTATCATCCCCTCTCAACATATCCCAAGGCTAAGTGTCTGCTCTGGCATGTCCCATTTTATTGTCAACATTGTCCCATTAGTCTTTTTAGCAAAAGAGAGGCAGCATCTAAAAATTAGCATGCAATCCAATCTTACTTGGAAGCAAGTCCCGGGGAGTTCAATGAGGTTTCTCTTGAGTAAGTTGGAGATTGGTGTTCTGCTCTAACCAGACACGCCATCCGAGTGATGCTTTCTCGTTCTGCCAGCCGGCTGGAAGTCTAAATACGCGTAGATGTGCTTCCCTTGGCGATGGTGTAGCTGGTTCCCACGCTAAATTATAAACCTGCAACCACCTTATGGCTGAGGCGTCTTGCGGGATCCCAGCCGTTCTTTCAATAGCCGTGCTACCTTCTTCTAGGAGGGCTGAGCTCCAGAGGACTCGATGCCTAGCGATCAAATATTTAGGCGATCGAGCCGTTTTGAGGGGTTGGGCGGGAAGGGCACGCTCTTGTTTCCCCCCCATCGTGAAAGCGTCTTCCTTCGAGTTTCTCCAAAGATGAGTTTGGCTCCCTCGCTATTTTTCTCGGCTCCGCCCCCTCTGAGATGCGATACAGGAAGAGTCTCTATAGATAAAGCCAGCCTGTTCGTCTGCGTGCTCGATAGCGTTAACGTACTGGCTGCGGGTAGGAAGTCTTCATTCCTTGCTGCTGTCATCGGGCAAAAGTTTGGGTGGTTCAGCTTATGCGGGGTTCGGCAAGGTAAGAAACGGGTGTCTGAGAAATCTAGACATTCAGAGGGGATATGCAAAGTAGGGATGTGAGAAATAGCGTGTACTTCAACGTAATAACATAAAATAATCCCTCCAGTTAATGTGAGGCAACGCGTGTGAGCAAGTTTATAGGAAGCTGGCCTTGCTGTGGAAAGGACTTCGCTGCTACAGAAAGTAGAACGGCTGAATTAGTTCATTAAAACAGGGACGTGCTGGGTCATTTGTTAAGGTAAATGCAGAAACTTTCATTAGACTAAATCCAGGCGTTTGTTGCCATCGCTTCTTGTATCTGCTAAAGCTACCCAAGTACATTGCTAGGATTAATTTAAAGAGGACGTGCTGGTGCCCTGTTTTTTAGGAAGCCCCTTTGAAAGTGAAGTATAAATGAAGACACGTTTGGGGTTTATGAAAAACCCTGGCTAGGCCTTCTGGAGCACACTGCTATTTTGTAAGAGTGCGCCTTGCAAACACTTACGCTGTCTTCTTCACTCTGTGTAGGATTAGCAATGGCGAACATGTCTTCAAGGGAACTTTTCTTCTTTTACCCATCAACTTATTGAGAAATCTCAGTATTGTCTGGAATGCACTCAGCAAGGAAACATTTTCTTTTAAAAAGAAACGTGTTACTGTACTTTTTAATATATTCAGTAACATGAATGGAGTGTGCAAAAGGAAAAAAGTGGTGCAGAAGGCTAATATGGTGAAAAACACACTTTGATAAATTGCATATAACATTGGATTTTGGATTGGCCTCCTCCTCATGTATAAAATGTTTAACAAAAAGTTTCATGATAGCGCCACTTACTGCTTGTAGGAATGCAAAAACTGAGTAAATTGTTCATGGTAGGGTTTCAAAGTAGGCTTTCAAGTAATTCCTAGACAATCCTGCTATGTTATTTTCTAGATAAATATAAGTCTTAGAGGCATAAGAGATGCTGCTGGATATGAAATATCCGACAGTATTTGTTTTGTAATGCTTGTACAATATTTTAATTATGCTTAATTATTCTCAAGGAATGATTTGGGAGGGATTCAATCCGTCATCCATATTCACCCTGATTTAATTTATATTGAAAGCATTTCTGAAATAATGGCTTTAAAACATTTGATGGTCAAACTCTCCCACTCCAAGCTGCATAACTAACTTTAGAATCCTAAAAGAAATCCTTTAAATATACATACATACATACATACATACATACATTCCCTGTTTACTTTTTTAGAGTTCAAAAGATGTGCAGTCAACCATGGAGTGACAATCTTCCAATCCTTCTATAAAAGCAGCTGAAATATAGGAAGTTTCCTAAATAGAAGTTCTTCTAGCACATCATAGAAAAATGAATCACAAAGAAGCAGTTATTAAAATAATTTGGTTCCCAAATTCAGTTGCAAAATATAACTTCATTGATTTGATTCCCCTTTGTGCTTGGATGGTTAAATCCATGCCTGATTATGAAACTTAATAGGTGCTCTTGAAACCTAGTAGCTATCTTTTGGACTAAAATTTTTATTATAGATTCTTTATGGATAAAATGTGATGGAGATGGCATATACTGCATTGAGCTCCTTGGAGGAAAGCAGGTAAATTAAGGGGATGGATGGATCAGCAGGGTAGACATTCCCTGATAATCTTGTATTTCACTGATGTCGTGACCTAAAGGCCATTTAATCATAATTTGGAAGAGTGCATTTGAACACAAACTGTCAGAGCTGTTTCATTGAGTGTATACCCTTGGGTGTACCTCAGAACAAATATTTTCTGGCCCAGTGAAGCTTGGCTTTTTCCTCTAGAAGGCCAGCTGTATTTAATCTGTCTTGTTGGATTCTGTCAAGCATTATCAGCTGTCGGACTCTTCTTTTCTGACTCAGCCTTGTATATGGAGCTCTGTTTGCAAAGTCCAAATGGGTCATCTTGATGTAGCAATAACCTAGTAGTCTAGCTTTCTCAATGACCAGTAAGTGACAACATTATCATTCTTAATATGTTACCTTTTAAAAAAAAATAGTATGCAGCCTTCTTTGTGATCAGGCATTCATGGAAAAATTGAACTATTCCTGAATCTCGTCTTTTTTCTGCCCTTACTCTGCAAATAATGATATTGGAATGCCTAAATAATGTGGATAACAGCATAAATATATTTTATTTTCAGTGAAACATTGATCTTGTGTACTATATTCTGATAATTTTCACTGGCAAGTACACTTTATTAAATTTATTTCCTAGTAATTATGCTTAACATTTATTCTTTACATTTATATCCTACCTATTCTGTAGTAATTCTAGCATTCCCTCATCCATATTTTAATCCACAATATTCCTGTGAGATAAATTGGGCAGAGGGATGGTGACTAGGGCCAAAATCACCCAGTGACTTTCCTTGGCTGAGGTGGACTGAAATCTGGGTTCCTTGGTCGCCAGTTCTAATATAACACCTTTACCACTATACCTACTGAAACCTAATTCAGATTTTTGCTGCTCTCTCATGACCATTTCTTCCATATTCCTTCTCAAGAACCTAAATCAAGAGATTATATTGCTGTTCTCCCAGGAGGGCCTCATTCTCTATGTTGTGTATAAAATAGAATAGTCATCCCATGATGGTAGTCTAGTGATTCCAATGCATGGAAATTGATATTTTGACAGCAACTTTATCTATACAGTAACTGGCTAATGAAAAGTAGCCCATTTCTTCGACTAACAAAACCATTGTAGGTCCTTTAATATTAGAGGTGGCTTTCTTGAGTAGTTGTCCAAGAAGTGCCTAGGCTTTATTTATCAAGGAAATTTTGAAAGCTACCTCCTTCCTTCCTTTCTCTGTATGTTTCTTTGTTTGTTTTAACCTTCATTTCATGAATATCCTCATTGGTGTATGATGGGGTGATGGTAGTCATTATTAGAAACAGAATTAATATTGTATTAATGAATAATTCAGGAAGTAGATGGAAAAAGGTCTTCCTTTGCAAGTTCCATTAATATGATATGACAAAGTAGTTCTTAGGGTGGCCATATATTGTTCTTTACAGAAGACAGGATTTTATTTGGTGGGCTGTCAGAAGACAGTCCTGTCTGAAAAATTATGCAGTCCATGTCTGGAAATGGAGCTCATATTTGATAACTCTTAAAGTGTAGTTAAGCTTGTCTTTTGCTATACATTTCCTCTAATAACACTAATTTAGTATAACTGGCAACATTATAAATAACAAGTCCCTATGATTTTGCTTTTAATATAAGTTTCTTATGATTTAGTCTCTTGTAGTTATGAATAATGTGGTCAGATCTGTTTGGGATGGCTTTTGGGGACTAAGAGTTATAGAATATTTTCAAATAAAATAATCAAATCCTAACTCTGCCTCCAGTCTTAGACTAGATTCACGCATCACACCAAAGTTTAAAGCATGATTTATGGCTGGGATCACACAACATGCTAAGCCCAAACCAACCACATCGTGGTATGAAACTGCAAGTGAACCTAGTATTAACGGTAGTAATACAAAACCTTTTCTTTCTGTCTCCAAATTGATAGGCTCACCCAAACCTATAATATTTGTGAGTGTAAGGAAGAGGACTTTGATGGAAATATGCAGGAACTGTTACCTAGGCAAAAGGGGCTGAAACATTTTTTAAATTCAGAGCAACATTCAGAAGTGGTGCAGGCAGATAGCTTTCTAATTCACTGGAGTACAAGAAGGAGGGAGAAGTACAACACAATCAGACTGGCAAGATTCTGTTATTTTAACCAATCTTGATAAAAGTACGCTTCTTGTGGAGTCGATTTCCTGGTCTGATAGTGGGGTTCACAGTATCTCATAATCTTTCTTCAAAACCAGCTAATTGCCTTGATTGGGAAATTCCTAGCACTGTCTTTCAAGTAACTCAGTTCTTCCACACTGATGTTAGATCACAGATCAGTGACTCATGTAAGTTTCACAGTGCTGAGTTCTTCTTTTTTTTTTTTGAGGAAAAATTTCAACAGTGAAGTTCTTGGAGTTCTCTGAGCTTGGTTGTTTTCTTGCAAACGTTTCGTTACCCGGCTAGGTAACAACTTCAGTGCTAGAATGGAATGGGGTTTGCTCTCTGTTTATATACTGTGGCATGCCCTGCCGGTGTTGGTGTTGGTGTTGGTGTGGGTGTGGGTTTTGTTTTGTTTTATTTTTTTCCTCTGGTAGTTCCCTGATTAGAGTATCGTTTACTCCTTGATTGTCTGGTGATAATCTATGTGCCTGTTGATGGCTGCCTTGTCTGAATACCAAGCTTCCAGGAATTCCCTCACATTTTTGGATTTAGCTTGGTCTAAGTTGCTGACAGATAAACAACATCTACACACTATTCAAAAGAGACAATAGAAAGGAAAACAAAAGATCAGAACATCTCCTCACCAGCAGTCATCACCCAGAGAAGCAGGGATTAACACCAAGATTATCACCAGACAATCGAGCAGTAAACAATACCCTAATCAAGGAACTACCAGAGGGGGAAAAAAATAAAACAAAGCAAAACCCACCCACTCACCCCCACCAACACTGGCAGGGCAGGCCACAGTATATAAACAGAGAGCAAACCCCACTCCA